AATAAAACACTGTAAAAATCTAGTACTTTCTGACAAAGACCAAGTATAAATAAATTTAAAAAAATAGAAGGGTCATCCTTCTTCTATGAATATTTTACAGATGTCTTTATTTTCATATCATTTATGGTATACTATGAATAATAACATGACAGTATTTACCCAGGTTTGAATAAAATATAATTATTTACTTTTCTTAAAGAGGATCACCGTAAGAGAAAAAACATTAAACACATGTTGCTGGACATACAGAAGATCTTTCCTTTTAATTTTACAGGAAGGAAATACTAAAATTCTAAATTATGGAATAAATTTCCTTCATTACCATTTAATAGAGAAGAGGAAGTTAACATATCTTTCCTTGGTTTGTTTATATAGGCTCCGTAATGTCTATGATTAATTTACTTTGCAAACACTCAAGCCTGCCAATTTAACTTTCTCTCACTTTTTAGGCTCTTGTGCAGGATTATTCATTAAGGATTGTTTCCTCTTCAATAAGTAGCAGAGCCCAAGATCCAGATATTTTTGTTCTTATGTAAGACTGAGACAAAAATAGTTTCTCCATACAACTATGGTAGCAATGACAACACCAACAATTCTTAGAGTATCTTCTGTAGACCACAGTGTGGACCATTTACATTTGACAAAACTAAACATTTTGTCAAAAGAAGATGCTCTAAGAATTAATGAGAAATTCCGTCTAAGATGCTTAGGCCTGTGTTTCACAACTGGTAGCATTTGAATATGCTTGTTGTCACTGCTACCATTTTCATGGCTTTGTTAAAAATATTCCTGACAGTAGTTCAACTCCTCTCATGAAAAAAAGTAAATAATCAGAAAAAACCCCAAAAAACTTTAAAGGCATATCTGAAAACAAGATACAATAAATTGATAAAATGTATTTTGATCTGACAAATGTATTTTGCATTTGACAAAAATAGGAATGCAAGTGTTCTAATTACTGAACCCATTGTACTCTCTGATATTTCAAAAAAGGATTATAGATAAGTGAAAGATTAGCTGATAATTCTTTAAAATGAACTTTGAATCTTCCGTCCTTCTCAATCTCTATTATAGAGTGTTTAGAAAACTGGCTGAAACCAGGAGGCTAAGCAAATTATAGAAAATCTGTATTAATATACAACCTGAGCAATAATCAACAGGGAACAAAAACATTATTTAGGTAGCCTTCCTGATTTATCATTCAGCATGAACAGACACTGATTTTTCCAGAATATTTTTAGATGGGATACTGCCTTGTTTTTTTTTTTTCTTTTTTTCTGGTTACATGTTTGCATAAAAGAACACAAAATGCAACCATCGGGATTGGGATTAAGTGTTGGCATGACTCAAACAGGCCTGCTGGGTCTCTTGCTTCCTGTTTTGTCCTACAAACACAAGTAAGAATTTTAAAAGTACATAATGACTTAAAGGATCACATTACAAGACAATCAGTTAAATGATATTCAGTTTTCCCTTGATGAAACATAAGTTTTGGTTCTTTTCTAATCACACACACACACACACACACACACACACACACACACACAATACACACACATACCCCCAGAAAAACCAAGATAAACCTGTCTGAACTAAACTCTATAAGAGCAGAATTTAAGACCAGTACATCTTAAGTTATATGGCTTGGTTCCTTATTTTTGTTCCTTATTTTTTGTTGAGAAAATGTATTGCATACCGCTGACATGTTTAAGTTCTGGATTAGAATACTCCTGGTAAATTTGAGAGGCAATAACCATTTATGTGAAGAGATAGCACAAGGAAGCTTATTTTAATCACCAGCATGCAGTGACAGTTACTCTTTGAGTAATAACTATCCCTCTTCACAGATTTATCATGTAGAGTAAAATGTAATTTCATTTTCATCCTTTACTGTATTTCTAATTCCTATCTATGCTAAAGAGTGCTGCTTTCTACTCTGTAATTTTTGGCTGTATTGGCTTCAATCACTATACAATTGTGTCTCCAGTGTTCACTCCAAATCTTTTACTCTATTTGAAATTAAATTTAGATTTCATGAACATCATAATATGCATCTTCCTCTTCAAAGCATGTGTGCCCACATGTGCACATATATGTATCCATGTGTGGTTTTATTTGTATGTGTTCTCTATAAGACTATAAAAAGCATGATTTTTTTTTAATAATGCATATAACCCCAGACCCCCCAAAAAAACAATGGGGAAGGAGAAAAACACAGAACCTTGATCAATGGTCTAAAAGTCTTAGTACTAAAAGTATCGAGACTGAATTGAACAGAATATTGGCAACCAAATCGTTTTTCCCCTTTTTTCCCTTTATTTCTATATCTCATCAACTTATTCTTTTCTATGCATCTACACAACCAAGATTCTAAAGTCACAAACCAGTTACTCATTACTAACAAGTTACCATTTGCTTTGTATAGGCTATCAGAATGGGGCTCTGCCTGCAATTCAGGAGACCAACTGGGGTTCCATCCCTAGGTCAGGAAAATCCCCTGGAGAAGGGAATGGCTACTGATATCAGTATTTTTACCTGGAGAATTCCATGGACAGAGGATCCTGGCAGACTATAGTCCATGGGGTCATAAAGAGTCAGACATGACTGAACAACTAACACATACACACATCAGAAAAATAATGCTATTCTCCTATATAGTAAACAATTGAGTGCTACTAGAGTTTTATAGCTCCTAGACTTTTCCAATTAAAAAGGCACCACCTCCTTTCTGTAAACTAATATGAAACTCATTCATTAATATATAATGAAATAATGTTTTCTGGTGATTTGGTGAAATGGGAATGAGTCACTTTTCACTGTCAGTGGAGACGGATGATTTCTTAGGATATATACTGTTCTGTATTCTTAAGCATACTATCCCTTTACCTGAAAATATATCACTGAGCCGATGACTCCAATACTGCGTACATTTCAGTTTGTTAGTTGTACCAGATATTATTCTTACTTCTGCTCTGCTTACTCAGATCTGTTCTCTACTTTTCTACTTTGCTCTTTTCCCCAAAGAACATCAGTTGGAATCTCTTGCTCCAAGGTTTCCAGTAGGGTTGGTCAGTGGGAATTACTAGCAGTGTGTTAGTGGTTAACATAAAAAAAAAAAAAAAAAATCCAAGTTAAGATATTTGTAAGGCTTAGATCCCTCACTGTTTGGCTATGAGCTGACTGTAATGCAGACCTTCTCTCTAACAGTCAGGCAGCCCTCTGCTAGAAGTTTAGGGTGCTTCACCATCCCTTATTTTCTTCTGAACCATACCAACTTTACCAGCTTCGTAAAAAAGAAATCCCGATGTTAATCTCTTGAATCAACCCTTCTGAGTGTGCATGTGTTTCTTTCCTGCAGTCTAAGTGGTAACTAGTTTGGGTTATCTATAAAATTTTTGTTCAAAGTCACTCTTTTTACAAAATGCTGGGGGCTGACTTTCCAACACCTGAGTTTTGTATTTCAGATTCTCAGGTATTGGTTCCTTGTTGGAATTGTCAGAAATAAAATATTTTCGACATTATGATTTCAGGATTTAGCAGAAACAAAGATCAACAGTGGATATCAAGCAACAATTTTAATTTTGATAGACTAAGCCAAAATAGATTTTGATAATTTTCTCATACTTTAAAAGACAATACATTAAACATTTCATCCTTATCATTATTCACGTTGCTTTAAACTGAAGTTTTTAAGAACTATGAACCTAGTTTTCCATCTCAGCAGTAGCATTCCATTGTTTCTACCTCCCTCCAATTCCTAATATTTTGCCATACTACTAAATAAAATTTGAATTATAGAGTAATTTCATAAAAGTAGACCATATTCTTGTTCAAAGACATTTAAAAATGTCTGGGTCAGAAATCCCTATTAAGAACATAAGATATGTAGGACAAATTATATAAATCAGATGGCTAGAATGTATATGTAAGAAGTCAAAGAAATGATTTGGTTTTCCCTTAAACTTTAGAAAAACAAGTATCAAATATGATATCTCTGCTAAAAATAAAAAATAAATAAATGACAACTGAAGGAGGTATTTAAAACTCAGAATAATCAGTTTAAAATAAAGTGTATTTGTATGGGCTTTTTTAACACATAAGATCAAAATCAGTAGTTATTATTATTTGGACTACAACTCAACTAACAGTACATAGTAAATGGCATTATTGCATAGCTCTTTGAGCTCAACTATTTACAGAATTCTACCATAGAAAAATAAAACGATCAAACCAAAACCAGTGTAAACCAGTCATTTCATGTGTGTGTGTGTGAAGTTGCTTCAGTCCTATCTGACTCTCTGTGACCCCATGGACTGTAGGTAGTCAGGCTCCTCTGTCCATGTGATTTTCCAGGCAAGAACACTGGAATGGCTTGACATTTCCTTCTCCATTTCATATGCAGATACATATAAAAATCAAGAACATGTAACAATGCAATGTTGCATTTTAATTCTAATATATTTAAGCTGACTTCACTCATTCTGAATTTTTTTCATTCACAAGCTATGTTCATGATTTAAGGCTATCCTAAATCCATTTATTTTTGTGTTAAGTTTTTAGTAATGAGGTAAAGAAAATGCCCAGAATAAACAGACATTCAAACTTTGTTTAGCTGCTTTGAGTCACTTTGTAACCCAAGAAAAACTGTCAGTATTTGAACAAGAGTTAAAGGGTTAAGTAGTAAATGTCTGAAGAATGAAATGAGATCAAAGAAAGTCTATACTGCTTTTTGTAATCTTAATCTCTCTATAAAAGCTAACATCTGAAGAGTAAATTTAGGGAGTATTATTTTGCCAAACATGTCTATTAATGTAATACAGGAAAATGAGTGAAACTTTTGCAGACTTCATAAAAAGTAATTAAAAACATTAACATCGTTTGGTTTGTTTGTTTTTAATAATATCTGCCAGTCAAAAACTTGGGAATAAGAAAAGGAAAAGAAAAATCCTGCAATGCCAAACAGATTAGACCCAGTAAGCTAGGAAAAGCAAGATGGATAGAATTGTTCACGGGGCAGATACTCTTCCCCCTTCCTCACTAGAATAAGCAGAGGCGCATTTGTGGAAACTTAACTAAGCAGAAACCTGCAGTGTCTGCTCACTGTGCTGACCTGCCAGCTGGAAGGAGCAGCGAGTTTAAAGGGTTTAAGCTCTCAAAGAAGCCAAGACTTGGCCGATCATCTTCAGCTCAGCATATTGTGAGGCATATGAGCACTCTTCAAAACTGGCAGGGAGAAAGGAAGGAAAATTGAAAATCTAAACACAGTAGCCAGTTAAAATTCAAACAATTGCAAGGGTTGTGTTTTATCTGAAGCATTTTGCTATACCCCATGCTATCAAATAAGGAAATAAATAGATTTACACTTTAGGAGAAAGAAGAGCACCTTTAGATTACTGTACTACCCTTTACTGAATGGGGGAGGGGGGAAAGGCAGAAAGAGAACATATGCATATTCTACTATAAAGTAAAACAAAATTGTGTCATTTTTCTTAATGTGATCTAGCTTTTTTATAGCTGTCTAGAAATCAACTCTATTATATTAATGTCTTATTTTTAATTTTAACAAAAACATTATTTTAAACATTTTAACAGGATATTCAGAATTCTAATGAATAAGCTTCAAAGGCATTGTTATTAAAATGACTATGTATAAAAACCCAAAAGTAACAATGGCGTAGTCATTATTTTTACTTTACTGGAAAGAAAAAAAAAAGTGGCTTGGCTCAAATAGAGTTAACAAAAATATTGATTTCTATTCTACTTTGTTTTCTAATTTAATCTTTCTGTTTGTTCTGTATATGAGAGAGAACACAATGCCCCTCACTGCTGGGAATATAAAAACATGTTGCCAACATCTCAAACTGACATGGTTTGGATTTATTGCAACAATATAAAAAATAATTCTGAAAATAATCAAAGTTCACCCCTCCTGGGTATGTCAGGCTGAGGGCCTACAGGGCAGCTGCTGCCCACCCAACTGCCGTTAGCATGTCTCCTGATGCCATCCAGAATTGCTGAGCTACAATTTAAGAATTAAATATTTATTGATTGTCCTGTTGACAAGCTTTTGAGAAGTGTATGAATGATGCATTCACTGAAGTTATAATAAGCAGTTTTCTGCATTATATTTAGACTCAATTTTCTAGCCTGAAACTGAACTCCAGGTTCAATTCAGAGAAAGTCTTTTCCTCTGGAAAAGGGAGGAAAGGGAATGAGAAACACATGAGAATAAATAGATATATCACCCTAGATTCAACTCTAAATGATTTCAAAACAACCATCTGAATATCAAGAAACTTTCAGTGAAGTTTTAATTACTTTTATATATGATTGCATTTACTGCCAGGTAGGCCTTGTTCTTAGCTTATCTTGTTAAACTACTGTATTTCAGCTTTAGAGTAAATCAAATTAATGTTTCAAAATAGAAATACTGTTCTAAATCAAAGCAGAATATAATTTCTATAACATTTTTACATCAGTAGGGCAAAAAAATGAATTATGTTTTTAAGGTAACCTAGACATTCTTTATCATTAACAAAAATTCAATGGAAAAGAAGGATAGGATTTTTTGATTAAAACTAACAAATAAATCACATGCTTTTTAAAGGGCTCCTCTGTTATCCTTTCCTAGGAAATAGGTTTTTTTTCCAATATGTTCTTACTTAAAATCTTTCAGTTGAGTTGTTTTCACTGTGTCAAATAAAGTTTTTATAAATTGCTTATGGGTGTCAAAGTTTCTTAATAGTCCAGTTGGACTGTTTACTCTTCAAGCAGTATTAAGTAGGCAACATTTCTGTCCGTTAAAAGTTAATCTGCCAGGTTGGTGTAGTTTGAACAGGAGAGGCGGTGTGGTAGGAAAGTAGCTGTCTAGTACTCGACAAGATTTGTTTTATCAACAGTATGACTGAAGGTGTCTGACATGATACATTCTTTCTCCATCTTACTTCCAGCCCTTTGTCAGAATGCATATCCTCACCTGGAGTCAATCTGCTGAACTCTTTTTACCTTTTAACAGGGAAAGGGAAATTGTGTAAAGAATAACAGTAAAAGATATTAAAGAGAGTTTTTATACATTGATTTTCATTGAAACTTTGACTAGAGATGATAATGAATGCTGGTTGCTTCTTCACATCCCGCTATAATTTCCCTCAATCAGACACATGGAAAAAAACAAACAAACAAGCAAACAACAACAACAAAAAACTGTCTTTAAAAATGAAAGTGTAATATTATATGAAATCAACTTTCCCCAACTAAGAAGAAAAGTTCAGATACTGTGCAAATAAAGGGATTTCTCTGTAGTCTGAAATGGTTGCCTTACTTGGCTATAAATCTGCCTCAAACAATGCCTGGGGTCTTACTTGCAGGGATGCAATGAAGTTACACTGCCTGAATGAAAATTTAAAAAACAAATTAGGGCAGAGGACCTAATCATGCCAGCTATCCATGATTCGTTGCAGTGTTTACCAGTAGCCCATGTGGGGTGATTCAGGATGAGAACACCAAATCTCTTTGTCCCAGGCTGCCATGTTTTACTTTAGGGTCAAAATATCAGAAGAAATGAATGCTAAGTTATTAGAGTCACAGTTAGTGTCAGACACATTTGCAACATGGATAGAGAAAGTGTCACTGGGAAAACTTGTGACACAGCCCCTGGTGACTTGCTTGATAGAGTTCTTACCTTCTGACTGATTCAATAGCAGAAACACACCTTCATATGTGGTGACCTCACTGATCTTGAGAGTGTCTTCTGCAGGGCTTCATGTATTAAAGTACTCTGTGAAAGAAATCAGGGTATAGAATCACCCACTGGATACTGTATAAAATGAAGTTCCTCAAAATTTCAAACTTTATCTCTTAAAGAATTACACAGTAAGAACTCATGAATTAAAATTATTAATTTGAACTCTGTGATAATGCAGACCAAGATCTGTAATCTTTCCTGTTAGTTATAACTAAAGATAATACATTAATACCAATTATATGTTATGTATTATGTTATATCAATATTATCAATTTTTAGAAGAATTGCTTTGTATAATTTCATGGAAACAAAAACTCTAGTCACTCAAAGCAATTTAGGTACATTTTCCTAAATTTTTAATTTAGAATAATTTTAATCAATATATCTATATTTAAATTCCTTATTAGCTTAACTAAATTTAATTAAAGTAAAATGATTTCCTATTTCAAAGAAAAAGTATCAGAGTTGCAAGATTGAAAATTTTAACCATCATTCCTCTATCCTATGTACCCAAGCCACATTTTTCTCATATGTAAGATCTTTGTACACACATGATGCTGAAATGGAAGTTGTAGAATTTGAAAAACAAAATTAGAAAACAAGGTTACAAGAAGAAGGGGAAAAGGGGAACACAGTGACAGATTTCCTCTTCTTGTGCTCTAAAATCACTGCAGATGATGACTACAGCCATGAAATTAGAAGACGATTGCTTCTTGGAAGGAAAGCTATGACAAACCTAGACACATCAATGTTAGTGCCAAACAGAAGTCTCATGTGAAGTAGAAGAAAGTGATCTTAAACAGTTAGAATACCAAGCACATCCCATCAATGTGTCAACGGACCCTTATTTTCAAAAGTAGCAAAACCTGATCCTTGATTCTGTTCAGAAGCAGCAGACAAATAATAGGCTTGGAACTGTTCTCTCTAAATTGTCTCCTAATGTAATCGCCTGATGTTTTTCCAAGTACAGGGACACGTTTCCAGGGTATTAAGATCTACAAGAATGACCCCATCATTTTCACGTCTCAAATAGCAACTAAAGAGAGATACAACTTAGAAGACTGCTCCTCTAACAACTCCTGTGGACCACATATATGTAAAGCCTCTCTGAAAATTGCCACTCACTTTTTCTCAGGATGGCATTCAGTTGGTAAGTACCCAAAGAAATATGCATAATAAATGTGAATGTGATTCCAGTTTAAGAATTACCTCAGTCAATTGTCATAAGTGGTTCTGAATTTGTTTAAGCATTTCTGATATTTGTGTAAATTAGACACTGTACATTCTAATTGGGTTGAGGGTGGATGATCTAAATACAGTCATCCAGTATGTACTGCAGACTTTCTTCTTTGTACAGAAAGACCAAACCACTTTTAAAAAATATTTTTTAAAGATTTCTATATGATGCTAATCTATTATCAGACGCAAATCTATTTTTTGTTTTAATGACAAAAATAAATTATTATAACCATGAGATTGAGACGAAAATAATTAATGCCCATCTATCTGAACTCATTTCTCTGCTTCTTTATTTCTCTCAAACGTCACTGCCACTCACAAACAAAGTCGTAATGCTACCCTTTCACTCCTTCACCATCAGCCAAGTAATTGACACATTACAGTCCATAATTTCTTACTTTATATCTTTCCACACCATCTCACTTCCATCTCTCACTGTGGCTCTCTATCTGTATATAAAAGCCTCACTTCTAAGCTACTAAAATAATTTTATATTTGAATTTATTGACTGCAGTTCCTTGATGCCTATTTAAGCTTCTTTAAATACCATGCAAGTTTACCATACAAGGTTATGGCTCAAAATTTTAGATAATATCCCACTGATGAGTTTCCAGGACATGTCCAGAATTGTTTGTCTCTTAATCATGGTTAAGTTCATTCTGCAAAATTTGATTTGTATTATGATCAATATTTCCTAATATCCACCTTGATTGCTCCTTTGACCCATAGGAACTATTAAGGGCTTCAAGATGCTGTCCATGTTCCAATTCTTGACCAGGTGATGGTTATACAATCTGTACTCACTATACACTGGTCTGTATACATAGAGGTTTATCTAAGCTTACACACTTTTCTGTATTAAGTTATACTTCAATTTATTTTTTTTTTTAAGTTTTTTTTAACAGCAAACTAAATAGCTAAAGAACATAAATGCTAAATAAGTTAACGAGTTGTTGAGAGGTTAGGAGGAAAAACCTGGACCCAGCCAATGGACATGTTAGACGAATCAGAAAACTTCCTAAGAATGAATCAAACTAATGGAAATGAGAATTTAAAAGTGTACAGAATAAGGCAATATTGATGCAGACCTAATGAATATATTATTTAACTTTAGAGTACAAAATCCAGAGTTATAGTCTATAAAATAAAATAACAAATTTCAAAATTTAACATCATATGCTAAGGATTGAATCCAGGTCTTCTGCATTGCTGACAGATTCCTTACTGTCTGAGCCAACAAGGAGGCCTGAACAAAGATTTAATAAGCATGTTCTTGTGTAATGTTAACTCTTTCCAGGGGTATTTATTAATTTCCAAACACATTAATACTTTCTGATTTATCTTTGGTATTTGGCAGGGTCTTACAACCTGCATGGGGACACTGGCAACAGCAATCTTGGAAGACCCCCTTGATATAAGCTGTCTTGGAACTCACCATTAACCCTACCATAAAGCCCATACACCCAAGGCCGGGTCACCTCAGCCCACATAACTAACACGAGGGAGTGTAACCCCACAAATCAGCAGATAATTGGATTAAAGCTTTACTGAGCAAGGCCCTACCCACCAGACTAAGACCCAGTCTTCCCCATCGCAAGTCCCTCCCATCAGGAACTTACACAAGCCTCTTAGCCTCCTCCATCAGAGGGCAGACAGAAGAAGCAACAAAAACCACAATCCCATAGTGGCTAGAACAAAAACCACATTACAGAAAGTTAATCAGGATGAAAAAGAAGAAAGCAATGTCCCAGATGAAGGGGAAAGATACCCCCCCCCCAAAAAAAAAACTAAATGTAGTGGAGATAGGCAACCTTCCAGAAAAAGAATTCTGAATAATGATAGTGATGATGACCCAGAATCTGGGGTAAAAAATGGAGAAGATGCAAGAAATGTTTACCAAAGTCCTAGAAGAACTAAAGCAAAAACAAATAGAAATGAACAATACACTAGAAGGAATCTATAGCGGAATAACTGAGGCAGAAGAACGAATAAATGACCTGGAGGACAACATGTTGGAAATCACGGCTGCAGAACAGAATATAGAAAAAAGAATGAAAAGAAATGGAGACCACCTAAGAGACTTCTTGGACAACATTAAATGCATCAACATTCACATTTTAGAGATGCCAGAAGGAGAAGAGAGAGAGAAAGGACCCAAGAAAATATTTGAAGAGATAATAGCTGAAAATTTCCCTAACACGGGAAAGGAAATAGTCAATCAAGTCTAGGAAGCACAAAAAGTACCAGACAGGATAAACCCGAGGAGGAATACACTGAGACACACAGTAATCAAATCAACAAAAAATTAAAGACAAAGATAAAATATTAAAAGCAACAAGGGAAAAATGACAAATAACATACAAGGGAACTTCTACCAGATTATCAGCTGATTTCTCTCCACAGAAACACTACAAGCCAGAAGGGAATGGCATGCTATATTTAAAGTGACAAGAGGGAAGAAACTGCAACCAAGAATACTCTACCCAGTAAGACTCTCATTCAGATTTGATGGAGAAGTCAAAAGCTTTTCAGACAAGCCACAGTTAAGGGAATTTAGCACCACCAAACCAGCTTTACAACAAATGCTGAAGGAACTTCTCTAGACAGAAAACAAGACAAGGAAAAGACCTAAAGAAAGTGAACCCTAAACAAGTAAGAAAATGGTAATAGGATCATCAGTTCAGGTCAGTTCAGTTCAGTCGCTCAGTTGTGTCCGACTCTTTGCGACCCCATGAATCGCAGTACACCAGGCCTCCCTGTCCATCACCAACTCCCGGAGTT